AATGTTCATATTCCAGCACTGAGCAAACTAGTATATAATTGACTCACACATCTACCAGTACACATTGTACCCAAAGAGATGATGCATGCCATATCATACACCATCTTAAAAAAAGAAAAATCGCAGTAGGCAATCAAAAAAAAACTAAAAACTGTATTTTTCAATTATCTTTTTCACAAAATGCATGATTTTTTACTGAATTCTACTACTCAACTAGTAGCAACCTGTATTCAAATATTCAGAATGTTTAACGATCAGTAGATAAAATGTTATTACAACAGGTAAAAATATTATTTTCAGATATAAAATTTAAGGAAAAAAGAATTAAAAACTTATATTACACAGAATAATGGATATAAAAGATAAAAATTTTGATGAAATCAAATTAAAAATTGAGAGAGAAAACAATGAAAAGAAACAATAATAAGTTTAGTTTTTGTCTTCAATATTATTACAAATGTTATTTTTAGTGGATATACATGCGAGTTGATATTCAATTTCTTTTCTTAAAAAAAGACAAATTTAATACCAACCAGCCTTGAGAGTATTAAATTTAACTGTTAAGAAAATAAAAAAGGGGATACCAACTCAAACACATGTACCCTCTAAAAATAACATTTATAGTAATAAGAAATAATCTCAGATTACAAAAATCTATTTAAAAAATTACTATAAGAGGTAAACCATTGCATAAAAAAGTTCAACAGTAATTTCAAACAGACAAGTCAGATTTGATAAGGCCTGTTTCATTGTAAAAAAAAAAAAAAAAAAAAACAGAAGTAACATAACATTTTACATTTAATAAAATTACTTTTCTCAAATGTTTATGTTTGTATCTTGTATTTTTCCCTCCAAATATATTAGTGTTAAGAGACCAATCTTTGTAATAAAATATTGAGGTCACAAAAATTGGTGATTCTTAATAGTAAATTCTTAATTTTAATAAAACCGCAGCTCTTAATATAGATTTGTATTAATTTTTATCCCGATTTTTACAGTATTTATAATACTGGTATATTCCTAACAAATGTCAAAACTAATCAAGTAGCCAAAATCAGGATTCAAACCCATCAGTCATATATGCAAATGATAATTTCATGATACAAACACTGACATGGCTGAAAGATATATATATATATATATATATATATATATATATATATATATATATATATATATAAATAAATAAATAAACTGTGTGTATAATGTATTCAATAATGATCAAGAGAACACTGTATAACAAATTATTTGTGAAGAAAACAAGGGGAGAGAACTAATAAGGCTTAATACTGAATTCTGGGTGAAGAATGCAAAAAAATAAAAATAATATATTATATATATATATATATATATATATATATATATATATATATATATATATATATATTGCCCATTTTACACTATAAATCAAGCAGCAACTTACCACACAAACTAAATTTTCAGTTGAATGTATTAATAAAACAGTTTTTTTTGAGTAAAGTTTAAAACGAAAAAAAAGTTGGAGAGGAGAGAATCTATGCCTTTCAATGTCAACCATTAATAAACATTTGAGTATCAAGTTATTTAGTTTCAAAAAGTAGGTCTCAGATAAAATTAAAAAAAAAATCTGTCAATTTCTTTTTAACTGTAAATTTAAATTACTTGTATACAATGATACATTATGAATTAAAGTTTCAAATTAAAAAAAATAAAATAGAAGTTTGAATCAAACATCAATTTTAAAAACAAAGCTTTTAAGAATTTTTCTAGCTTGAAAATGCAAGAAATGTGTATAAATGTTGGGACATAGAAAATGAAAGTGTAATGCGATGCCTATTAAGAAAGAGCTAATATATCTCACTGGAATGGTTAGAAATAAAAGTATTGTTTTAGGTTTCATTTTTAGCATTGCTTCTTGGCACAAACTAGTAATGAAACTGCATGCAGAATTCTTCAATTTTTTCTAGATATGTTCTTATTTTTACTTTTTTTTCTTACTATCTTTCACTTTCTGCACTCACTCCCCTCATTTCTTTGGTAGATAAGCACTGATTGCCAACTGTAATAAATAAGTTTACTTACACCAAAATTATTTAGTAAAATAATATCTACCCATGTAGTGTTAACATATATTTGAATGAAATCTTTTAAATTCAAATGACATAACATTAACAAGCATATTTAATGCTAACTGCCAAGAGTAAACAAAATTACTGAGATAATAAATATCTGATCTGGGATCAATTAAGATGAAGTGTCTTAATGACTTCATACTGATTTTTCAAAATAATAATTGCTTTGATATAGGAAAACAAAATTTGTGCTTTGAAATGGAAAATTTTGTAATGAAAAAATTTTGTAAAGAAAAAAAAAAAAAAAACGGAAAGAAAAAAATTTTGTAAGCTACTGATTAACTACAATCATACAAAACTGTGACATTCTTTGAATTATTGAAGTAAATAGGAATTGTTTTATGTATAAAATACTTTGATAAAAGATACCACAGCCCAAATACTTTTTGACATGTTATGGAATGCATTATTGACAAGTCAATCTTTTTTTTTTTGACCAAAAGTCATTTTTTAGATTTTTCCAATATGTCAAATAGTCAATACTATATTTTTATTACAAAAATGCTGAATAATCATATTTTTTTCATAAGCTATTTTCTTCCAAAAAGATATTTCTATACAGATATCCACCCAGATAAAAATATGAAAAAAGTGTTAATGGCAAATTTAAAAAAAAAAAAAAAAAAAAAAAAAATTAAAATAAAAAAAATAGTAACAATTATAAAATTAGTATTAAGAATAAAAAAAATTAATTTTTCATTGTTAGTATTTTTCCAAATAAGGCTCCTGTGATAATATCCAGGCATGTTTTCTAACAATGAGTAAACCACAGTAATTTAAAGATTGATCTAAATTATTCCAGTAAATAGAAACATTGCTCTCTTCACAGTTATAAGGTTAATTGTTTCAGGCATAAAAACATTCTAACATATTTTGCTAGCAAAATGTTTCCAAATATTTTCAGCATTTGCCAAAAATCTTTTTTCAGACATTCTACAGAAATTAATTTTAGATTTTGTGAATCATGATGAATTGTAATAAGCAACAATGCAAAGGAAAAAAGAAAAAAAATCTTATTAGTTAATGTGAAAATAGCAGAAACAGTCAAAACTGAACTGATCAAAAAAAGTAACAAAGTTAAAGACTAACAGCAGAATCTATTTTTTCTCTTGACTCTACTCAAAAAAGAAAACATCTTTATTTGTACAATACATACTAGCTTATATGTCAACGCTTTATTTCTGTGAGGTTTCAGTAAAAACATACAAACACCATAAGGCAACAGCACTCCCATAAACAGTTATCCAATCAATTTACATTGCCTGGCATTCTTGAATTGCAATTTATACTGAAAGTAATGTCTCATTTAAAAAGTTCATATTCAAGAATGATTTATTTTCATAAACGATGGCTACAAGCCAGCACCAATTAAAGCACCAATATCTTTGCCAGATTAGTTTGATTGTAAAATAAACTGTGTCTAGATTTTGAAAGAGTTCCTTCAGCCACTACAATTAAACCTAAGAATTTTAATGAAAAATCAATATCATCTTCTAGGAATTTAACTTATTTTTAGGTTTACCAGCTTAAAAATAAATCAAATAAAAACTAATATCAGAAAGTAGCATATATACTTGAATATCATGCAACTTTTGAAGTCCTAATTTTGAAGTTAATTTTAAGGGGATCGCATCAGACATGAGGTATAAAATTAACATAGTGCTACTGGTCCTGGCTATGTTGTTGATCAAATTATATATCCATCTACTGTAGTCAAAAAGTGCAGCTGTATTTAAGATAAACATGATTTTGATAAAACTGATGTTTTACTTAACTGTATCCAATAATAATGCATGTAAAATTCACATATTAGCATCATATTATAAAATACAAACATAACGAATATGCATCTTTTCCATTGTTTACATTTATAAGATATTTATCCGTTTCTTGTTCAGTTGTTTATGGTTGTACGCATTTACCAAACAAGTATAGCATTACTAATGATACTTTTATCATTCTCTAACTTATTTAACTAGGGATAAAGAGATAGAGAAAAAGAGGTTAGTCTATTTAATTTGGTCTCTTAAAAAAAAGGAACTCGCATGATACACAAGATACATGACAAAATCATTTTTAAGTGAAAATTTGGGGGTGGCGCATTACATGAGTATATACAGTAAGTACAAATAAAGTTACTGGTTTTATTTAGAGAAATCATAGGAAGTAAATATTTTTTTTAAATTACAAGTCTTCTCATTAACTAATAGAGAAAGAAAAAGTAACTTTTCCAATGCTATAATATTGTAAAAAGGATTTTTATAATTAGCCAAATTTTTTTAGCATCATAAATAACAAGGTAATTAGTAAGAAATAGCAAAATCCCAAGTAAGTCTACCATACTGTTACCTGTGCACAAAACTTTTCAAAATTTATTTATATCTGTTTTCAGAAAAAAATGAAAATATGCTTTGCAAATATAACACCACCAAAAGACTGGTTCCTATGACATGGTTTTTAGATGAACAAATTATCTCTTTAAATCAGGTGAGAAAAAAAAAAGTCTACTTAATAAAGATTACACTCAAAATTAGTAATTTATGATCTAGTTTGGATATGTTTTTAAGAGATCCATTTTGAAGTAATATTGCTGGTAGGTAAACAAACTAGTAATAATATAGAAAAAAATTTAAGCTACTGAGAGTGATTTTTTTTTAATACCTGATAGCAAAATAATAGTGATTTGTTTGTTCTTTAAATATCTTGCCAGCAGTATCAAACAGAATGTTATGTTGTCAAATGAAACAAATTTTAATACCATCACAAAAGTGAAAATAAACTAATGTTAAATACTAACGGTATCAGAATCAAAAGTAAATTCAATTTTATCACATTCAGATTCTGTAAACAACAAAATTTGATTTAAAAAAAAAAAAAAAAAAAAAATTATTAATGATCATGTGGATGTAAACTCCGTCTGCGAAGGATAGTGTCTCTGCTCAATGGACTGGAAGGAATGGTATTATTAGATGTATCTTCAGTGTGTGGAAGACCATTACAGCTAACACTTGCATTTTGGGAGGACTTATTTTTCTGAAAATAAAAAAATATAAGTTTTCATTTTCAAAATGTATATACAAATATATAAAATTGATGCTACACTGTTCATTTGCTTAAAATGGGAAAAAAAAAAAAAAAAAAACACACACAAACAAAGATTAACCAAACCAAGCTGAAAATCTCAATTAAAATTATTACCAGAGTTATAAAATTACAATATTAACATGTTATTGTTATGCAATAAAGAAAAAAAAATAGTCTCCTATTTCCTTGAGATTAAAGAGACCAACTGAAATTGGCAGAGGATGAACAAAGATAATATAAATTCAAACAAATTATGGTAATCTTGCATCTCAAAAATATGTAATAGATTCTCTTTTCCTTAATATTTTAGTTGTTACACGTGTTGCTAAACTCATTTTTTTTTTTTATAAGATTTAACTAGAAAAATTAAAAATATTAAAATTGAAAGAAATAAAAATCAACACCCACCTTGTGTATGTATGAGATTTTATACAAGGATTATGAATGATTTTATGCAAGCTTTAAGAATGAAATATGACAAATTATGGATGTTTGTCTTCTGTACTTAAAGATTTTTAATCTTGGAGCTTTAAAATATTTACTTCTTTCCAATGTTTGCATTCAGTGTGCTGAAGATGAATTTGTAAAAAATATCTTTTTAAACTACTTTTATAGATTCTCATTTTACAACTTGTGTCTCATTAACATCTTAAAATAAACTTAATTCAATGATGTAGAATTTTTTTTAATTAACCAACCAGATGGTGATAACAGGATGCTGATCAGCTAACATGACCACCTTAGGAAAAGAAAAAAATTCTAAATCTGATTTTCTGATCTTTATTAATATCAGCTTTATACCTTTAACTAAAAGTACCTCCCAATATTGGACACTTTCACAAAATATATATAAGAGAATTCATAAGTTTTTATAAGTATGTTTTTTTAACGTTTTTCATTTGTATCATGCTTCTTGTTTTGATTGTCAGATAACTATAGTGACGTTTTCTTTCTATAGAGGTAACAATTCTATTTTACCATCATATTCCTTTTGTAAAATAGAAAATATGTGGTGACTGAACACCAGTGAAAATCAATCCCAGTTAACATTTTTCTATAGGCAGCCCACAATAAAAAACTTGCCTATCTTAAGACATGACTACAAAGTTTGAATTTTAGACAAAGTCAATAAGGGCAGACAGCAAGTGAACAAGTGTTATGCGTGGCAGTGGTTAAATGCTTACAATATACTTCCAACCTGGTGACTTACACCACTTTACAGACAAGATCTTAGAGGTAACTTGTCAAGGCTTATATAGCACAAATTTATTATAAGTCTGTTACTGTATTACCTTAAGGGTAAATAGGAAAACAGAATTTCTATTCCTCCCACCTACTACCATTGTTTATTCAATTTGTGATAACAAAGTGAAATTTCAAAGGCTTGCTGGGATTAAATTAATCTCTGAAGAGAGAAAAAACAAAAGCAATGTTTAGATATCTCTAAAGTGAATTAAACAGCATTTCAAAAAGAATCATAACTAGAATTTAATTCCAAGATGTATGGCTCAGTGGATTAGAGTAGTGAAATGAAACTAAAAAAATTTAATCCACCTAGAAATTTACTTAATCCTAGAACACTAACCATCAATTAAAGTTAAACCACTTCTAACCATGAGTATATCATATCAGATTTTGAAAAATATCAAAAAAAAAAAAATATTAAATATAAATCTTTATTTGAAATATTTTACATGCAGGCACTTGAAACTTTATATTTTGAGTTAACATTAATAGGAACTGAAAAACATTATTTAGGTAAGAAAATCAGGTACTGAAAATTGTAATTAAAAATAGGAAAATTTGTAATGGGTACTATATACCCATGGTTAGTATTCTAGGGTTAAAAACTGAAGAAAAAAAAAAAAAAAAAAAAAAAAAAACACTATAACAATTGTAATTTTATCCATTTAAATAGTTATGAAGATAAAAAAAATAGATAAAAATCAGTAAGACTAAGAGAATATAACTTATGGCAAATATTTATGCTTGTGTACAGTGTCCACAATGTGGAAGTGGTGTAAAGGTTAGCAACAGGAAAGAGAAATTAGCAAGCTAAGTTCAGATTATGATACAGTTTGTTAAGGTCATTTTCCCAAAAATACCCTAGAGATATGAATCATATCTTTCCTGCCAGCCAACAGTGTTAAATTGCAGAGCAGACCGAGTTCTTCAGTCTTGGTTGGCAATCATTCTAGGAAAACTGTATTGGAAACCATCTTTATAAGAGATGAACTGTCAGTCTATCTTGCCCTAGACACACTACCCTGCTGCTATGACTGAAATACGCGTAGTGCCCCTATGATCCTAATAGGTTACAAAACTCATAATAGTTGAATGACAGTTCAAGAATATCAAAGTTTTCTCATTCATTCTACTTCCTCTTTTTGAACACATCTTTCTTCCTAACGCAATAGTTTCAAGTCATGATGACAAAGACAAATTGCTTTTCACAATGTCCAACAGATCAAACTTCACATCAAGCAGTCAATCATAAAATTGTTACTCTCCTAACCTAGTCTCATTTACTGCTTCACATATGCATGTTATCAATCCGCATCCATTAATCTTATTATGGAAAAAAGTATTTTTTTAAATACAATTGTAATTTGTTAATTTCGCAACCTCGGGACCTAGCCAGATGACAAAATGCCAGAAAGAAGAAATTGCACTTTCAGTTTCAGATATTAGTCAACTTAAAGAATTAATAGTTAATGTGAAATAAATTGTTTTTCATAGTACCTAATACATTTTAGCAGGATTGAATTTTAACAAATTTTCTATTTGTATAAAAATATTGAACAGCTGAGGTTTAAAACTGAATCAAAATGATTGCCATAAACTACAATATTGTTTGATAAAAATGACTCACCTGATTTTTTTTACTAAAAATATTTTTTGTCTATTGTTTTTGGGGTTAAAATAATTTTTAATCTTACTAATATAAAGACCCCTTCCCAACCACCTAGGAAAAAAGTTTATTCACCCTAAGGTATTCTATTGATAATTAGAAATTTGGATACCGCTGAATGAACATGTGTTTGATTTAATCCAATCATTCCTATCAAATTATAAAATGAAGGTCATTTTGAATGGGTTCACTTCCAGATCCTTTCACACGAACAGAGATGTACCCCAAGGCTCTATCCTGGGTCCTATGCTGTTTCTGATCTTTATCAATGATCTCCCTGATGTCATCAGTTCCAAAGTAGGCATTTATGTTGATGATGCTACCATTTACTCCTGTCTCAATAGCAAATCCAGAGTTGACAAAGTTAACCTGGCCACTGCTATTGAAAAGGATCTCCAATCAGTGGTTAACTGGGGCAAGAAATGGCTTATAAAGGATCTGCAATGTAATTGACCCTGACTTGGCATCGCCTCTTCATTCACTTTCCTCACCAATGTAACATGGTTTCCCTCTGCCTTTTCTACAAATATATTCATGACTACTGCTCTGACAAGTTCCCCCACCCTGGTGCCCAGACTACGGGAGTTTAAGCGTACAACTAGATTGGCACCTAGGTCCCATCCTTTTACTGCCCCTTCTACTCCAACAGTTTCTTTTCTCGCACTTCCCACCTGTAGAACTCCCTTCCATTTCCTTGATAACTACAATATTCAAAAATTTAAATGAAATGTCAATCAGCATCTTCTATCTTTAACCCCATTCAGCTTTTATCCTTTCTTCAGTCCCCACTATACCCAGTTTTTTTTTCTCTCACCTTCACTCTTTGTAACCCCCTGTGTACTAGTGGCATTCCCACCTTGCTTGGGGGGAGGGGTTGAAATGATTAAAAAGTGCAGTTATAAGTATAAAGTGATAGGAAAGAAAGATTATAAAAAAAAATAAAAAATAAAATCTTTCAAAAGATCATATCTTTTATGGACAAAATCCTTTCAAGATTTGAGCATTCATGGCTCTCCACAACATTTTTCTTTTTTCTTTTCTTATTTACTCTAAGAAACTTCTGACTTTGTAGCATCCATCCATGCTTTGCTATCATTTTTCACAAACTTTTTAAGTTGGTTACTTACTGTTTCTCCTCTGCTTCTCTTGCCTTTTAATGTCTTGTGAGTGTTAAATTCTCTTGGCCCTCTTTACTCATCCTATATACTAGAATTTTCAACAGTCTGATTGTAAGTATAAATTTCATAATAATTCTTATTTTCCTTAACAATTCCTTGTTACTCATATTCTGTCTATGGTATTCTTAGTATTTGTTAGTACAAGGTAACCAAAAAAGTTTGGTCCGTTTTCCGATTAGTCATTGAATGAAGTTGAAATATATACAAAATGCGTGTAGCAATTGTTTTCAAATTCGGACAGCCAGAAGTAGGAACATCAGACATTATAAAAAACACACGCGCACCGTACCCGGCCATCAGTCATAAGCCGGACAGCTGTGAGAAGGATGGAAGTGTCTAGAGATCTCGTTCGGGGCTGTTTGCTTTACGACTTCAAAGTGGGCTTATCAGCAGCTGCATCAAGTCACCGCATATGTCAAGCGTTTGGGGATAGTGCCGTGGATGAACGTACTGCAGGGCATTGGTTTCGAAAATTCAAGTCGGGAGATTTGTCTCTCCATGATGAGCCTCGCAGCGGACGACCACATGTCTTGAATGACGGAGTCCTGAAGGCGGCCATTGAAGAGGACAGTAGTCTAACGTGTGGTGAACTTTCAAGACAGTTCAATGTTTCCGATAAAACAGACTTCACCTGCACTGCCTAGGTAAGACATACATACTGAGCAAGTGGGTTCGGCAAATGCTGTTGGAGGTCCACAATGGACAACAAGTGGCAGCCAGCGGATCACTGCTTTCTTGCCACCGTACCGCATTCTTATTCAATCAAGTGCTTACCAGTGATGAAAAGTGGGTTCTGTATGAAACTCCCAAGCATTCCAGACATTGGTTGTCTCCTCAGGATGCTGTCCCTCACACCACAAGACCGCCTATGCACCCACGCAAGATTATGCTTTGTGTCTGGTGGCCAGGTCGTCAAGTGGTTCATTATGAACTGCTACCAACGGGCCAAACGATCACTGGAGACCTATACTTGCAGCAATTGAAACATGTGCAACAGGCATTGTGCCAGAAAGAGCCAGCACTGGTGAATCACAAAGGCATGCTTTTCCTTCATGACAACGCCAGGCCGCATGTCGCGCAAATGGTCAGGGATACCATACAGCAACTTGGGTGGGAGACTTTGTGCCATCCACCTTATTCATCTGATCTTGCACCATCCGATTACCATCTCTTCCACTCCCTGGATAATCATCTTCGTGGGAAATCCTTCACCAATGAAGCAGACTTACGAAAGCCCTCACGGACATCTTTGTGTCACCCCCCCACCCCGAGTTCTACCGCAAGGGCATTGAACAGCTGGAGACACGTTGACAGAAGGTGCTGGATGCCGATGGGGATTACTTCGAAGACTAAATATAAGTTACACATACTGTGAAGGGTTTTCTTTTTTTCCTTTAAAAACGGACAGAACTTTTTTGGTTACCTTGTAGAACTACATCTCAAAGTCTTTTCATCAGTGAGGAAATTGTCCAGCATTCACTGCCATATAGAAGATTAGATATTACAAAGCAGCTCATCACTCTTTTCTTTGTTTCAAACAATATTTTCTGCAACTTTTCTTATTGTTTTCAATTATTGCCTTGGCTAAAAGTTCTTTCAGTTTTCTCTCTAAGTCATCCATCAACACAATGTCATCTGTGTATCCTGTGCTGTTAAGATTAAGCTTACCAATAATAAATCCTGATAGGTCTTCTAGTTTTCTTAGGATCTTCTTGCTGTAGAAGTTAAATAAATCTCAGAAGAAAACACACTTCTCTTTCTATTTTTGTATATTGATTAAAATCCTTCTCTATTTACATACAAGTTGTTCCCAGCAGAGGCTATGGATTGTTGTCTTTCCCATATAAATCAAACTTTTCTAATATTTCAAGTAGGTTTGTATCATACTTCTATCAAATGGTTTTGTGTAATCTATGAAACATAAGTATAGGTTGGTCTTTCTGAACTTGACTTTTTGCTCCGATAGCATTTCGATTATAAAAGATGGCATTTTTTGTTCCAGTGACTTGAAGAAAACTATATTGCCCTTGCCCTGTTTCTAGTCTAATTTGGCTACAAGCTCTAATCATTAGAATCTTAATTATAAGTTATGTGGATCATAATGCTGATTATCTAATACATCCATTTATACCTAGTTTCTTTCACATCACTATGAAAATCTGAGATCTGCTAGTATTTTACTGTTACCATATATTTCATTTACTAGTTCTGTAAAATGATCAGTTCCAAAATTGTCTTAGGCTATTCACATTTCTATTACAATCTCATCTGGTTATGCTGCTTTGTCATTGTTCATCTTGGCCAGTGTCAATTCTACCTCAAATTTACCACATGTTATTCAAGATTTTACATGGAAGTTGTCTGCTATGTATTCATTTCATTTTTGTAGTATCTTTTCTTTATCTATTATGAGCCTTTCCTTTTTAGACTTTATGCATCTTATGAAGAGAAAATCTTCCACCATGCTATTTCTTTTATCTATTCATGCATGACTGCTATCTTTATGTTCCATAGTGTTTCTATCTCACTACACTTCTTATTGAGCCATTCATCTTTGTTTTTTTTCAAAAAGGTACAGAATCCAAATAAAGATAAAAAATAAAAAAATACTCCAACTCCTAAACTAATCAAAGCAGAACATGCTTGAAAATTCTCTCTTTAATAGCAAGAATTTTATTCATAAGTTGAGAATAAACCCACTTATAATTAAAAAAAAAAAAAAAAAAAAAAAAAAAAAAAATGAAATACTACTAGCTTGAGAAATTTTGTTTTCACAAAGCATATTAAATACTAGCAGTAGAGCCTGGCATTGCCCGAGGATGTAACAGTAAGAGATAGATCAAGTATCGACCATCATAAAGACTGAAAATAAAATTGACAAAGATTATTGTTTAAGGTTGATGGACACGCATGTCTTAATTTTTTTTTTTTATGAATTGGTCAAACCCAAACAAAAACATTGTTTTCAATCATTATGAGTCTACCAATTGAATAGAATTTTATTATAAACAATTGTCTTGTAAATGGAATTTTTAAAGCATTCTGAATGTAAAAAAAATGAAAAAAGTATGCAAGACAATAAGAAACACTACCTGCCAAAAAAAGTGAAGTTTTGTTGAAATCGGTTGAAAAATGTAGGAAATCCGATCCCATATATAAACGAACACACACACACACATACAACCAACCTGGGTTTTATAAGTATAACTCGATATGAGCTGTCCCCCTTTCATTCTCGCGATGCCTCTTAATCGTGTTTTCAAGTTGATTTCGCACAAAAACAATTGTGTTTTTCCAATTTTTGGCGCTGTCAGAACCAATAAAGGTAATTTTAAATAGTCCTGTGAAGTTTTGTTGAAATCGGTTGAAAAATGCAGGAAATCCGATCCAATATATAAACGTACAGACACACACAACCTGGGTTTTATAATAGGTATGATTGTATATACTGAAGTGAAAGTCAACAGATGGCAAAAGTATCAGTGAAAGACAAAAGATGCTTAGTCAACAGAGATTACACAGGTCATTTGCAATTTTATATTAGAACCTGTAAATTGAAAAAAAAAAATGATAACAGTAACAGAGATAATATAATTCCAACTCTTTCATCCTTTTGTCACTTTTTATAATTTTTCAGAAAAAGACAAAGATGTATTGGTGTTGAAATTCATTAGATGAAAAGTTAAAAGAACTTACCTTATTTAAATAAGACTTATGATAAAAGTTAAGGAAAAGCAACAAAAGACTGCCACCATAGAAAATAAGTGCCCAATGCATCCAAACAGGAAAGTTGCATCCTCTACCCAAAGACTGAAAAGCATGGCACATTCCAAATATAAACTGGATCTAAACAAATTTAGAAAGAAAAAAAAAATGATAAAAATTGATATGCAACATGTTTTGTTAATAATCATTACTAGAGAGGAGATCCTGCACATCTATTTAGACACATTAAATAAATTTAATTTGCCAAAATTATGTAAAGTCATTTACTACAGGAATATAGTAGATAAGCAATAGTGAAAGATTTTTTTTCCAGATTTAACTGAGCAAATTCCTTCATTAATTAATCATTTTCTTAAATAAAATAAAATAATGAATCTATCAATATTTTTACAAGGAGATCATATTTTAAACCATAGCAAGTTTGTTATTAAGATACTTGTTCTAAAGTATAAACTTTAGAAAGTAATTGTGACTTTTATTCTATAGTCTCTTCTGTTAAAGAAATTCCAAAGTGCACAACCTTTATTTCCAGCATAATCCACACCTCTTAGACCTATCTTAATATACATATGAGTTACTTAGTTTTGTTCATTCCACTTCTGGAGTATTTCTGCTTTTGTCTTTCAACTCCTACAAATATATAGAAAGTTTTATACTGCTTTCTCGTGAAATGTTTTCTGATTGTAGAATCTATTTCCACTGACCTTCAGGAATGCTAATATAATACCTTGTTCACTTCTTCACAGTTGCTTGACATACTATATTCGCAGTTAAACATTTTTCCCACAAAGGGAAGCTATCTCTATTTCTGCAGTGACAAGGAAGAGGTTTGATTCATATCACATGCACAAATGTCATTCAGTTATGTTTTTTTATTTGTTGGTTTACATTGTCCAAACAATAATAGCTCAATTTAATTGTGTATCTATTGAATATCTTCCAAAGATTTTTAGTAAAGAAGTATTTATCAATAAATTTAAAAAACAGACTTCTCACTTTCATCATCAGAGCTTTTCTGGAAAGTGAGAAACCAAATGATCCTTCTTTTTATGTAGGTCTTTTTCTTAATTGTACTGCTCTTGAAATCAAAATTAGCAGCATATCCACATTTTCTTAAAGCTATTTCATATTCTATTACTACTAATATTATTCTTTTTCCATGGGCAGTGTCTCCCTTTACAGTGATCAAGACTGACATCAAAGAAGTCCAATCCTTTCAAATCAGTCTTAAGGTTGATGTCAAAGACCAAGTTTTTAAATGTCTTAATAAATTCCTTTCTGATATTATCTGTAATCCTGCCATTGCAACTAGAGAATCACTAGGCCATCATCATGATGTAAACCTACATTTCCCTCAACTTTAACAGCCCTTAACTCCATTATTTTTAGCAGCAGGCAGATCCAAACTTTTTAACAAAGTTCTGCTCCATCAAAGTTGCTATAATCACCTTTGTTAATCCACACATCATTGTGGAATAACACAGGCTTTCAGAAATGCTTGATGATCTCTGCCAATCATTTGTATTTGTATACAGTTTGGCCATATCTATGGCTTTATTAAGTTTCATCACGGATTGAAGGATAAGAATTCTTGATATCAAACTGTACAAATGCATGCTTTTTCTTGTCTGTGATGCTATTAAACCAATCAATGCAACATTGATGCTTTTTTTCATTGACTAATCTGTAGCTCATTGTCTCATAATTTGATTTGTCAGCTGAAATAAACTTTTCAGGAAATTTTTCCTTTCCATATCTCTTCTGAAAACTGCTCTGCACCTTCTGGAATTCAAGTATTGAATTAAGTTAATCCTATCCTTATGAAAAGTGTTCAATTCTACCTGCTGCTGTGGACTAAATCCATATCACTCTTCAGTGGTAAAAATAATGTTACTGATGCTACTGTTAAGAAAATAAAAATGAAAAATTTCCATCTTATCCTCTTAAGAAAACTCACTACTTTCTAAATAAACTGTAGCACTATATACAAATTAGATTGACAAGTATAAATAGAGAACAACTGGTGAACATAGTGTGGCTATGCCTAACAAACCTGGTTGCTATTCAGGACATGGAGAACTGTACTATGACTACTACTATGCAGAGAGATATACAAAACATAAATTTCAAACTTGTATGTCAGAGATTTGATTATATATTCAAAGCCATGAGACCAAATAAGTTGAAAAATTCCTGCACAAATTAGAAATAAAAATACTAACCAACTGTATTATAGTAAGATATTTTTTCCACCAAAGATATGGATAAACACTTGGGCCAATGGCTGATAATCCATAGTAAGAGTACATAAGAATATGGACTAAAGAGTTCAACATGGCACCCAAAAAGGCTGAAATGTAAACAAAAGAAAGGTTGAGAATACATATACAATTTTAGTAGATAAATGAGCATTTCCTATGTGAAACACCCAGTGTACTTAACATTAGACCCTTGCTATAAGACATAAAATATAAATCTATAACATTAAATATACAGCAGTTAAATTGCATTCTTTTTCTGCTTCTTCATTTTAACTAAATAATGCTAATCACTAAAAAGGTAAAAACAAATAAGATAATTATGAACATTTTTATAAAGTCTGGTTTGTAGCTAAATCTTCTATTAACATTAAGCACAGAAACAACAATAATGAAAATGGTGATACATATTTAAAGAAAATTTCAGTATTAATAATTTGATAAAACTGCAGGATAGACTAAATAGTTTTCTTTTATGTCTAGTATAGTCATCAGTTTCAAATTTATATTTCAAGTTCCACAAGATGAATAACAATATGCATAAATTGAAATTTACAAGAATAAAATAAAGCTTATTATAGGTAATATTCATTTGATAATGCGAATTTTGTATAGATATATAGACTATGAAAGAATAACAATTGAAAAGAAAAATATACAATATATTTATTATAATATACACCATATGTATTGCTACTGCAAATACAATTAAAATTATAATTTACACTAGGGACGTATGACTTTTGATACATTGACATGTTGAAAATACAAGGCAAAATGTATTGAAATACTTACACTGTCCTCCAGCCACCCATTTGGTTCCAATCCACCAAATGGGAAACATGGTGACATGGTGGTAGACATGCAAGAATGTAATTTGGCTGTTTTTCTTTCGAAGGATGAAAAAGAAAGTGTCTAACATTTCTAACAATTTAGAAATGTAAAACCACCAAATTGCTTTAGCAATCTAGAAACAAAGAAATGTTCCAACTGTAAAATACAGAGGCTACTTTTTTTTTTTTTTATAAAACAAGTTATTCTTAAACTAATAAAAAATTATTTAATCTAAGAACATGAGAACAAATGTTTTTATTATCACTAAGCTCCACAATAAGTTTAAATGATTTCACTACATAATTTAAAAATTTATTTTTAAATTTAAAAATGTATTTAAAAATACTTAAAAGGTGTATTTAAAAGGTGTACTTAAAAATACACCTTTAAGTATTGATTTTAGTAATTACAAGTTAATTTTTCTTTCAGTATTTAACTTCCAATTTTCTCTATATAAAATAATTTAAAAACAAGACATCTCAAATTATAGTAATATCACTAGCTTAAAAATAGCAAACTGACCAAAATCAACATTGATACCATTAGAATAATAAGTAAAGGTTAGCCTTTGTATCTGAACAGTATTCAGATAAAGCCAACAAACTTCCAAGCTTAACATTTTTTTCACAACAAAAAGGAAAATACTTTAAAAATCACTTACCCTCATTTCATTTGGATCATAGCTGTAAGAAACAGACTGGCATAGATAGCTATAGTTAGCTGCACGAGATGCAAAAAATATCTACAAAAGAAGTTCAAAACACATAAGAAAACATTCATAAGAAATTAACAATATAAGAAATTAATGCTGGTAAAAAAGTCATCAAACATAGCAAGTTAATCTACACTACCATTGTTAGAAAATCAATCCAATTTTCAAAAAAGTTACCCTGCTGAACAAATGGGTATTAAAATTCATGAAACTATCTGAAATTTAAAATTTGTTTTTGAAGCTCAATTAATATTATGATGAAAAACTTGATTTTTTTTTTCTTTGAGAAAAAAAAAAAAAAAATTCAAGCTCTTTAAATGTCAAAGTAAAAAAAAATTAATAAAAATAAAGAATTAGAAATATCCACAAAAGCCCAATTAGTTTTACATTAGCTAGCATCATATTTTACATAAAATTTTATTTTTTGAATTCATACAACATTTTTAGATTAGAAAGATTAAATCTACACTCAGTTTTGGTAAACTTTTACCAGACAGCAATATCAAAATACCATAATGCAACATATTTACATCTGTATAATGATTATATATAAAAAAAAAAATAAAAAAAGCAATGATTCAAGTAGCTCTGTTGTTAATCTTACCTCACTGGCTATATGGAAATTCAAAACAATCAACATTAGATTGTAGATGACTAATGTCCATCTGAAAGTAAAAGGTTTCTTGTTCTGCATATATATGGGACCTAACCAAACAATGAGTAGATAAAGTCCTGACAATGCCAACGTTTGAGATATTCCATCCATAAGAGGCCAATCAGCAACTCTCTTATCTAAAATAAATAAAATAAAATTTAAAATACTTGAAAACATAACACAGTTCAAAGATTTCTCAATTTGATAAATTCCAGCATCCCAACAAAAGTTGTACATAAAACCAATATGTATACCCTTTGTTTTAAAAGTTAACTTCACTTTTGACCAAGTCATAATACTGATTAGTGTCTCTCTAGTATGACTTCCCAATCAGTACTAGGAAAAACTAACAGGAACAGCAGTAATATATGCACCTAAAAATTCATAATAAAAATAAAAACATGCGTGCAGGTAAGCATTTATTTTATTAACTAATTGTTAACTCATTATTTCAAATGTTTATCTCAACAGAATAAAAAAAATTAAAATATCAAAACTAAACATGTTTATTAAATACTGATTACATACAAATCAATTTTTGCATTTGCCTTTAAAGTTGTACACTAAATAAGTGAGATAGGCATACAAAAAAAAAACAAAAAAAAAAACACACACAAAAATACAAAATGGTGATTTGAGGTAATTAAAAATTGATCATAAAAATTCTTAGAGGTATATCTTAAATAATTAAAATGGGAAAAGAAATGGAGAATTAAATTAAAAATATGCAATGAAGTTAACAAGAGAATGAGAGACAGTGAGTTGATCCCTGAACAATTTGGTGAAAAGTCATTAATTTAGGAATTTCTCAGAGGTGGTCTTTTTTTTTTCTCCTTGAATAAGGAAAAATGTTTACTTGAATTTTGAAACTGAAATCTGATCTGAGAGAGATAAATTCTTAATACTTTGATGCTATACACAAAGTATATTAAAAGTTGGAAAAATTGTTTTTTGGCTGGAGCCATATGTTTTATTTTTGACAACGGACCCATTAAGATAATCCAGACAGAAGTGGAATTTTTTTTTTTTTTCTTTTTATATATACATCATTATCAAGCTGGGATGAAGTTCCAGAGGGAAGAAATCACTTATATAAACCAAAGAAGCATTTGGCTTCATTAGTCACCAGGAGATATCAAGACAAGGTGTTACGAAAATCCATGTCATTCAAAGACAAGAGCACACATGCATTCCGTGGACAGAATGGATGAACAGATACACAAAACTGGATTGCAGCAGACTTGCTACAAGAACAGTCTACTACTACAAGTACTAAAGCAACTAAGGGGAGAATTGAAAAGAAGGGAAAAATAATAACAAACCAAAGACCACAAAATACTCAAATCAATATTTTGGTTACCTAGATATGTATATAACACAAGTCTGCATAATATTCCATGTCAAAGTGATCGCTTGTCATCCAGAGAACTTCCTCCTTACCTATAAACAGACCAGCTTTGGGATCACAAAGTTACCATAATCCCAAGAAGAGTTTAATAATCCCCTCCGTAGTAAACATGAATAGACGATCATAGTCAAAAAACAGATTCACTTCAGAGAGTGTGAGCCAGACCAGAACAGTTGACAAAGATACATACACATGTTTTAGCCTGCCATGCATGCCAGAAGAGAAAACATGAATGTTGCAACTTTGTGGAAAGAAAGTTAATCTTATTGACATTGACAAAAAAAAAAAATAAAATAAAAAAAATTGTTACTTTTTTTATTAAGAAAATGCAACTTTATCATCACCATATTCTACTGAAGGATTTGTATTATTTCCCACAACTGGCAGTTGTTGCTTAGAAAATTTCAATTAGTGATTATGTATGTTTTGGTAAACATTTGAAATTTGTTTCTGATGTCTTGGAATCATAATTTTGTGGATATTATTAACATAGCCTGACTGAATCTTTGTTCCTTTCATTATCGATATAGATCAGGTGACAGATTCAAGTTGGGTTGAAGAATTCCTCATGTTGCAACATAATGAATCTAAAAATGACATACAAATAACATTATCAAGTCATATGCATATACAAGAGTATTGCTACCAGTTATCAAAACTTGTTATCAAAGGTCACATTTCCACTTCTCTTTCTACTTCATATCTTGTGGAAATGGCATTCTCCAGGGTGAATCACTTATTAATGAAATCACAAAATTGCCTCAGTGTTACAGAAAGGGGAGAATTGTGTCTCATTAATAAACTTTCCTCAAAATGTCTTGGTTCTCAGTAAAAAAAAAAAAAAAAATTCTCAGAGAAGGCATTGAATAGCATCAGCATTTTGTTCATAATTTTTTTTAGTGTGTTATAATCTGTATGTTATAATCCAAAAATAAAAGGAGTATCCATAGAAACAAAGTTCTATTTCTATTTATTTTCATTCATAGCCCAAGTAGTTAAAACTTAAATATTTAAATTTAAACTTAATTCTGAAATTTGATTGGTGGATGTTCCAGACTCTGCATATAGAAAAGTGAACATTACATAGAAAAAGCTTGCCAAGCACTGCTGTACAATATATCAATTCAGTTGTTTACTATTCAAATATATCCTGTTTTAGTTCTAGAATAATAAATTTTATAGCCACTTGTATATTACATATGTATTTTTTATATAAATGTACATATCTATTATGAACATTAACAGCTGTGAATTTTGTTTTCAAAATACTGTTCATAGGAAATTATCTAAACCATTAATATTCTTATTGAATTCATAGGAATGGATAAAAATTCAGCAATTAAATATAGTAAAATGAATAATTTCACATCAGCTATACAAAACAAAGCAAAATGTCATGTTCCAAGTCATTTAATCCATATGTTTCAATATTCAAAAGCAAACAGGCAAAAAAGCCCCCCCCACCACAATCCCAAAATGTCAATGTATTCTAATTGTTATCAACTTAAAAAAAAAAAAAAAAAAAAAAAAAAAAAAAAAAAAAAAATTTTAAAAGGGCACTTAGAAAATAAATGATTTTAGAAAACTTTCATTTTATAAGTTTTCAATAAAAGTTTTGCTGAAAAAAAAAAAAAAAAAAAAAAAACTACAGCTAAGAACCAAACAGAGAAGAAAATAAAATAAAACTCATATGATGACCTTTAATAGAAAGGTCAAGTTCTTCATACCAACTTCCTTCTTGTACTGAATTCTTTATAAGTTATATGTTCAGTCACTGAAAGGTTCTTGTAGTCTGAATTATACATAATCAAGACTTGATATTTTTAAACGAATTATCAAAATAAACTTTTAGCAATTTCTCTCCCAAAAAATTAAATACAAAAATTAAAAAATACTGAGGTTGGTCTAAGTTCTAAAGGGAATGATGCCTAATTCAATGGATAAATTAATGGTGCTTGCAAATGTAACATTTCTGCTCTCAAGTTATAATAATTGGAAAAAAATTGATTTATAAATACTAACAAAATAAATATTTAATAATGTTAAAAGGTATATTTTATTTAATGAATATTTAGTATTTTGTTGTGTTGGAAACCTACCACCCCTCTTGAAGATGAACTTGTCTGTGTCTGTGAACAAAAACTTTAAATAGTGGCATGTCAGTTGACATGGGGAAGAGACAGATAGACAGAGAAGTTCTTAGCTGAGCTAGTTATCGACTACTCAGGCGATTTCTGTACCTTTTTTACCAACCTATTAAAACCCTTTTTATTGTTACGTGTTATTTGGCGTTTGTCTCTACTAACCCCAAATCTACATCATAACAGTGGCGACGAGAGATTCGTTCATCACGCTGAGTGGAGAATTTTTCAACTCTAGGTGGACTATATAAATTTCCCCCCCCCCTTGCTCTGAAAAAAAAAAAAATAAATAAATAAATAAAAAATACATCGAACTTTGTTCTTCACGAAGAAATGGGATTTCAACGTGCCAAAAAGAAGTAAGACTTGTGCTTATTGTGGATATATACGTGTTTTTCTCTTTTTGTCTGTTTTCGAAAAAAAAGTTTTGTGTAATCTGTTACGCATAATGGAAGATTTGATTGCATTAACGAAAACTCTAGTGCAAAGTCAAATTCGGCAACAAGAGCAACAAAAATTGTTTCAGAACAACTATTGGATTTACAAGTTCAGCAGCGAAATGACGCAAAGGCTTTATATGAAGCGATTTTACTTAAGAATCCAGTAAATCCATCATTCACGGCTGAAGGTATTGCTAATTCTATTACCGAGTTCAAATTTAACCCAGAGGAGGGCATAACATTTCCTGCGTATTTCAGAAGATTTGAAACAATATTTGAAAAAAAAATGTGAAGGTTGGACTGATGAACAAAAAGTGAGTTTACTTTTACAAAAGTTGGGTACAGATGAAAATAATAAGTATACGAATTTTGTCCTTCCAAGAAAAACTGGTGACATTTCTTTTCAAGAAACTGTTAATACTTTATCTAGTATTTTTGGCAAGCGAGTTAGTTTGTTTCATACTCGTTTCTCGTGTTTGAATATGGTAAAGCGTGACGATGAGGATGTGGTTACGTATGCTGGAAATGTTAACAGAATGTGTGAACGTTTTATGTTACATGATCTTTCAATTGATCAATTTAAATGTTTGATATTCATTCAAGGCTTGACTTCTAGCAAAGATAAGGACATAAGGTCCCGAATATTGGCAAAACTCGAACAAAATTCTGAGATCACTTTGCAGAAGGTTATGGAAGAGTGTCAAAGAATTGAAAAATTAAAACATGACAATACGCAAATTGAAGAAAAAGACGTACCCCGTGTCCATGCTATTCGACCAAAAACGGGAATAGTTAATAAAAACGTTAAAAAAACCAACGTGCTTTGAATGCGGCGGTGGTCATTTTAAAAGTGAATGTTTTTTTCGCAACAAAAATTGCTATTCGTGTGGCAATAAAGGCCATATAAGTACTCATTGTAAAAGCAAAAGAAAAAAATTTAAGTCGAAAAAAGATAATGTGAATATTGTGTTGTCACGTCAGGAGATTGAGGAGGGG